AAGCGTGACATTTCATGCACTGTAATCTTTTAGTGTTTGGTCTTGTTCTTTCATGAAAAGACACAAAGAATAAATGATTATTTTCACTTAAGCTTATCCTGATATGGATTTTTAGAAACTCTTTGTTATTATAATTTCCTTCTGAAATAATCCTCCAATTTATATTAAAAATATTAAACTAGACTAGTTTCACACGCCAAATAGTGTACATGTTTCTTAGAGCAGCTGTCTTATCGCGATTTCTTTTTGTTAATATTCAGTACAGTTTATTGAAATCTTGCGACTTTGTGACAAAATATCTATGTACTTAATAATCTAGAAGAAGTATAAATCACACCACCATCTATGGTGGATTCAGAACTGCTCAATAAAGTTGAAATTATGCACATATACTGTAAACGTATTATTGCCAGAGCCACCACCAAACCTATTTAAAAGTTTGAGTAATAACAAGAACAAACATCTGCATTAACCCGTATTTGAGAGTGCCCATCTCACACCTTTAGCAGTATTTATATAAAAAAAAACACTCTTTTGAACATATTCCCACAACTGTACATCATACTTCAAAATGTTCTTCCTGAAAGATGTAATTCTTGAGGATCGGAGCTTCATACTGAATGGTGCATGAAGTGTCTGAGCAGACCAACTAAATTGACTCCTGGTATTCCCAACACCAAAATTCAGTTACTCAATAAAAGGTCGGCTTAATAAACCTGTTACGCTGCACGATACAATTGCTAATATCTACATCAACAGATTTAACGATCCTCGTAATGTTGATAGCGTTGAAGAGATGTTTCATCAAAAAATCTCATGTTGACATCAATGTCCGATATCAGGAAATAGACTATATATCTTCATGTATGATATAGATGACGTGTACAATGACTCTCCAACAGAAATACTAATTTGACAATCTGCCACAAAAGTCCTTATTTTAATATTAACACACTTAATCAGAGATCGCAGGGCCCCGCTCGCCCCGGTCTATGTTATTTTAAAAAGATTATGTTCATTAACCTGTACAGATCAAGTGATCCAAATTCTAAAATCACACTTACTACTCGTAAATTATTTTATTCATATGGTTTTTTTTCTCGTATAACCAAAAGAATTTAAATAAAAATAGATTGTAAAGATTCGACTGGATGTGCATAAATCACAAATTTCAAGTGAATCCTCACACCATCGAATTTAAATCATACACCCCAATAAATACTTTAATTAAACAAGCTTCGAAACGCACCCTGCGAAATCCACAAAACATGAGCATTATTGACTCGAAGATATTTTTAGAGAATATTCTTGATTCCGCGCTTTCCAGTAATAAAAAAAAGTTAATCCGTGGAATCTCGAAGAGAATTTCATCAAGATTTATTATCCATCTACAAACAAAACTACGTTGTTTTTAATGTTATTTTTCATCCCCGTTGTTCCCGTTTTAGAAAATATTAATAAATCTGTTTACTTCGCATACATAAGTAAACTGTAATTAAATAATCCATCTTTCATTTCTTTTAGTTTATTGACATTTTTCACCTAAGTAAATTACATTATGAAACCGTATCTAAGTAATTGCTTTAAAACATTATTTTGTGTTCAATAGTTATTCAAATGTATTAAGTAAATAAATGAATCAAGGTGAAACAAATAAATCGCAGATTGACTTATTTACTAAATTAACTTGCATTTATTCGAACACGCAGAATTTCATTAATACTGCTTCTTATTAATCAAATTAAACTTAAAATACTAAAATACTCCATTCTATATGTATATTACAGTCTCAATGTAAGTCCTCAAATAGTCCGGTTTCTAACAGTCCGGGATACTGGTGAAACTAATTTTGAAATATTTGATAAATTAATGTAATATTAATTGGATTTCACTATTTTTTTATTATGTTCTGTTTTGACATGTTTAATTTTATTAGACAATCTATAGAAACAGTTGAACAGATAAATTGAAAGTAATTTTATTTCAATTTCAAGACATTTACAAGTTACTTGTCAATAATTACTAATATGGAAATGATGGAAAATCATATTTAAATTACTTCGCACTTAAATCAAATCAGTTGATCAAACAAAGAAATGATTAAATATTGATAAATCTTAAAAACGAAACATGTTTCTACTTTTATTATTTTAATATAATTGTATGGTGGAAGTTTGAAGCTAGTTTATGAACTAATTAGACGCAGTTCAACGTAATTATACAAATTAATTATTTTAGTAGAAATTAATTTGGTTAGCTTACGTTTGATAATTTTATGTCTAGAATAATGTAATTATAGTGTTTTAATATACAAAACATACGCAAAGTGCGGGTAATCGGTTTTGCCAATATCCCGGACAGTTTGAAGAGACCAATTCAAACCACATACGAATAAAGAACACAAAAGTGAATAAAGAAGAAAAACTATCTTTTATGTAATATAAAAAATAATAATATTCTGTACTATTTTTTTGTAAATATATAACATATACCAATTTAAAATAAAAAAAAGTACCTCGGTTTCCGAACAAAATTTCATTTCTCGAACATAAATTCAATTCCCAAACTAAAAACCAAGTACATTCAGAACAACTCCTTTTCCTCCTTCTACTTACGTCATCAACTCTTCGTACGTACAGATAAAATGTAGTTAAATATTTGCACCGATGTATTGCGGCTATTAGAAAACGTATTTTTATAATTAAATAAACAAACAAAAACAGTTTTATATAATTTTATGGTTATTGCAATACATTGTGTTACTGTTGTTATATTGTTTAAGATGTTATGAATTCTCATTATATTTTACATACAATTGTATAGATAATGGGACTCTAATATTTGTCCATGTCTTATTAATATTAATCCTGCACTTTTGTTGAAATTTTTGTTGAATATTTGCCATAAAAGTCAACATTTGACCACTGAAGTAGCCGGCGAATCAACTAATGTCTGTTGACCGGCTCAGCCTCGAGCAGGGTGTGTGTGTTAATTCTTATAGTAAAAATTTGTTTGATATTCGTCCTTTTTAATATTTAATTAAAAAATCAAGAATCTGAACTACGAGAACAGATTACAAAATTGTGTATAAATTCTTCTTTAATATATTTTCGAACTTCGAAGAAGAGAAACAATAGATGTATGTTTTTTATTTAATACTTATCTTTTTGGAAAATAAATTACAAATTTTCCTTTTAGTTAACACAATGAAATGTATTTAAATAAATTAAATCGAGAAGATTTCACAGTTGAATAGATATTAATTAATTCTTGCGCTTGTCATACTATTAAACTCGCAAAGACATTCTAATATCAACCAAAAGTGCAGATTTTCCGAGCTTTAAACTAAACCAACTTCGTTCATTTACGTAATTTATTTTAACAAAACGTTGCAAAAGAAAAAATAAGAAAATTTATTGTATAATAAATACGTTAATTTTATTAAAATTGTACGAATGTAATATATTTCTAATTTAGTTGCATTCAAGTTATGACTTTCTATACTTTCAAACAATTCTAATTTTATAATAAGTTTAAGAAAAATAAGAAAAAAATACACGTTTTTAAATGTTATTAATTATAAAACACTTTTAGTTTTAACATGTATAAATATAATGTTGATATGAATTTTTGTGCAATTATGCGAAAATAATGTTAAAATCTATAATAATTTGCTTTTCCCTACGGAAATTCGTTTGTTGTCAATTATTTAGTTCTATAATAAAATTCCTTTTAGGAATTAATATCTTCTTTATTTAATAATATGCAAACAAAATTGTTAGGAATTTTGCTATAATTGATTTGTTTATATCTGCTTTAAATAGAATTGATTTTAGATGTTTTGAAAATGTAATGCAACTTAATTTTATTGTTAAAAATGTTATTATTCAATAAAACATTATCAAACTTAAGTTTTATATTTTCCATATTTTTTTAAACATTATTACAACAATAAATAAAAAGAATAAATAAAATGACAATGGCAAAATAAATTGTGATAATATATGTAGGAAGCTTCTATATCAAAAAAATAGTTACGTATTCAACAGGGGATCTCGTATGGACCACTCAATCAAAAGCTGACAGTGATTAGTAGAGTCAGAAAAAGCACACCATACATCCTACCGAAGTAATGCAGCTCGAAACACCAGCAATACAAAAATTAATAAAAATAAATCGTTTAAAAATTACGATTTTTTATCATAACAGTTGTTGATTTTTCTTTCTAATATTTTATTTACTTTAATTTAATTGAAACAAACAAAATTATAGTGGTACTCACCACATAAATCTCATTATTGAGTTAACACAATAAATTTTCTACATAAAAGCTTATCGATTTTCTGTCATGTAAAGACATTTCGTTGTTTTCTTCTTATCAAAAATTTGGTAACAGCTCGGTTTTTTATTAATTAAGATTGAAAGATAATAAAATAATTTCTTTGTTTACTGTTCTCATATACTTTTATTACTTTCTATTTGAAAATACCAATTTTGTCAAAAAAAAACACTTCAAAAGTTGTCTCATTAAAATGCATTCGTGTTTAATAATAATTATTACTAATTATTTCGTAATTTTGTTCTTACAAACATTAATCGTTAAGAACTATAGAGATAAATAAGTGATTTGTATTTAATATTTTTAGTTATAAAAAGAAAACTTTTAAAACATGAAAAAAGTTCTTACTGACTTTAATAATATTTTCAATTTATTGCTAGTATCAGAAAATGATCAAAATCTGAGAAGTTTCATGTTAAAAAGATAATGTTGGTGAAAACTATGACTTTTTATATATTTTTTTAATTAAATATTGTACATTACTATGTAGTTAGTATAAAATAATGATGCATTTTCGAGTCAGGAAATTACGTTATATTTCATTTACAATCTTTTAGTTTCTATAATTTCAATGTTTAATGCACTTTAAATTAATAAAATAAATCTGTTGTAAAAAGAAATCTTTCCAAAATTATTAAATTTTTTTTAAAAACAAACATACCGTTGATGCAAGGTGAAGAATTTAAAGAACTTTTATAACTAATTTTTAAATTGTGCATAGTTTGAGTTTGAACTTATTTCACACGAATTCACAAAGCACCGAGTACACAGATAAGTGAAATAATGAAATCGCAGTGAAATATGGGTATATACTGTAAATAGTTCTTCGTTTCCGACAACTGAAAAGGAAAACTCGCGGAGCGTTCGAAGCCACGACACAGGGAAGTCGCGCTCCGACGAGAGGGTTGAGCAAATACTGAAGTTTAGCCGCCGTTTCCACAGGGGTCTGCTGCGCAAAATCATCCCCAAAAAAAATAATGTAGTGACATATCCTGTCCCCATGTATATATAATGTTTAATGACGATCTTTCGAATTTACTTCATTCATAATCAATTTATTAGGCTATAAATTTATCCTATTCATTATTATTTAATAATGAACTTCAAACATTTATGAGATTTATCATAATTATATAAAAGATCGAAAAACGAGGAATTAATTAACAATAATGATATAAGATAATATAAAAATACTTTTAAAAAAAATTCTGTGGCACAATATTTCATAGTTACATAATTGTTTTAAATTCTTTATAATCTTAAAATAAAAGGTTATTGTTTTATCTCAGGGTTACAAATGATTACGGAACCGTATGTGGAATTTTTATGAGTATTGACTTTTTTACTCTTATCTGATGCAATATCTTATCTTAAAATAAAATAGTTCTAGGCATCTATTTCATTATATATTTATATTGAGACTCAATAAGTCATAGTCCAAGTTTAACTTTTGCATAACAACCTATAGAATATAATAGAACATAAATATCTATTTGCCTTTGCCATAAAACTTACTAGTGGAGACATCAACGAAACTAAATATTCTACGGTGATTAAAGATTGTCATTCCTTGAACAACCTGGTAAAATATTATATAGTAACTAATATTTATTCCATTTAACAAGCAATACTTTTTCTGATCTAATAACAATTTCATCTGCGTCGAAGGAAATACAAATATGTAAACATAAACATCTATTTATATTATTTGCATAAGAATATGTACATTCTTGAATTATTAGGAATTGTGACTTGAACAGATATTATGCGAGGATAACAAGAGCAAAAAGAGAAGGGAATAAAAAAAACGGGCGTAGTGTGGTTCTACTCTAGCTCGCTTATATGACGTCACTTTCTAGCCCGGTACGGTACGATAAGGGTACTACCTCTTTGGGGTATATAAAGTGTAACGTATCTATAATCCTGCTCTTTTTACTCTTTCTCTCTTGTCTCAATATCCAGTAAGGTTCTCTGTATTTCTTGTCTTATCTCATGAGTCTCGTACTCGATATACTATAAGATCTCTACTTTTAATATGTTGCTCTCTATGTTATTTACTATCTGTGATGTCCTTATACTCCTCGAATATCCCTCTCCGATACATATAACCGATCATCTCTTGACTCTATAATATAAAAATGACTATTTGCTATTATCATTTTAACTTCTCTATCTGACATATATCTTTATCTTCATTTATTTTAAGTGGATTAAAGAATTTTCAAAATAATTTAATTTAGTGAATGAAATAGAAAAGACGTTAAAAAATATATTATGTTCATCATGAAAGTAAAAATAAAAAGGAAAACATAGATAAACATGTTCTTCTGGACTTCTAGAAGATGAACATCTGTTCGGATTTTTTGTTGCCGACATTCATAAGTCGCATCTGCGCGATCCTGTTTTCGTACTGAGTCACAGCCGCCTTCATTCTCTTGATATTTTTCATTATCTCCATGTTGGCCTCCTCCGTCTTGATAATGCTGCACTCCGTAATCTGGCTGTAAACCTCGGACTGCACATTCAGAGCGTTAATCTGTTCAGTCAAAATCCTGCCTCTCTCAGCTTCATCCTCGACGTCATTCTGTGTATCGAACAGTGCATTCTTCATTTCATTATACATCCTGAAAACAATCGTGCATTAATATAGATATATAAATATAAAACTCGCTAATGATTTACTTCGTCATCTCGGTTTCTCCGCCCTTCTTCCTAGCATTCTTCTTCTCGTAACTTATCTTCTGTTTCTCGGCAGCAGCCTTGACGGCATTCAGAACATCAACAGCTTGATCGCAAGCAAGTTTGCTACCCTAAAACAACACTTGTAACATACTCTACTAATTTATAATTGCGATAGTGTAATAATACTTGTAGCCATTTCCGCAATTTTTCTCCTTCTTTTCTAAGATCTTTTTTCATTTGCGTTACTATATTCTCATGTCTTGCCTGCATCCTCAAGGCAATATTTTCTTTCTGATCAGATAGCAACGCCATGAATCTAAAAAGTATTGTTTAAATAACAAATTTTGATAAGATCATCGACTTACTTTTCTACCAAAAACACCGGGTACATAACTTGCATAGCTTCCATGTTCTTCTTATTTGGTGGTCGATTTATAACGTACTCCCACATGGCAGCTGGTAATTCATATTTATCCTCGTCTTCCACTTCAGAAGCATCAAAGAATGAAGCTTTCAATGTTGCTTCAATATCATCCAACATTTCTTCCCTTGTTGCCACCTGAATTAATTATTATGTAACAGTATTTATAAATGCTATTAGTTTTACCTTATCACGCCTAGATTTAGTTCTATCAAAAAGCATTAATAGTAATTCCACTCTACGCTCATCATCGTTCATTTCGTCAAATTCTTCGTATTGATCTTTGCTCTGTAAATCAGCAATCAGTTGTTCCAATACAACAGAAATTGCATGATTTTCTTCCGCCGTTATCTTTCCTAAAGATTCAATTAATACCAAATCATAATGCTATTAAGTATACTCTAACCATCCAATTCATCTGCGATATTTTGTAACATAACATCGTAAAACGTGAGTACCCTCTGGCGTTCCTTGGTGTCTTTTCTTCTAGCCAAAATGATTTCCATTTCGTTCGGTTCCGGTACCATCTCCTTGTATTTCCTATCCATGACTTGATCAAAGAGACTGGAACACAAGTTACATACTTCTTTTATATGGAGGAGTGCAGAGGTGGTATAAAGTACCCTTCTCCACCTCCCAACCAAGCAGGTTCTTCTTCTGCTAAGCTTATAGCTACGTATGCAAAGGCTCCCTCACCATTGGGCATAGCTCTGGTTGCAACATAGGTTCTTCCATCATCTCTCGCAGCCTTAGATGTGTCATCATCCTCTTCAGGCATATTAGCTAGATCTCCCAACCACGCAGGTGTCTAAAAAATTTATAAACATATCATAATAAATAAGCAAAAGTATATTTAAAACCTCGATTTCCGCTTTTATTTTCTGAAAGTATTTCGTTGCGTCGGAGTAGTCGATTTCATTTGGAGAGACTGTGAATGGCTCTGACAAAGCTCCATCCTGCATATTGAGAAGAAGATTTGACAGGAATATATTTCTGTTCCGTTTCTGTTCCATAGTTTGACATGGCTGACCGCATAGTTTCTGTAGCCATTGCTGCAAATTACATCATGTTAGTGTATTTACAACGAATTCGTTCAGATGAACGAGCACTTGGACTAAGTTTTGATCGCCGGGCTCCCGAACTTTCGTTGAAAATGAACTGGTGAAGCCCAAATAAAACAGGAAATCCTCGTCCAATTTGTTTTCAATGTCGGTCATATTGCACGGTAATTTTGTTCACTCAGACGGTTGAGCTATTGACATTTCTTAGACATTTTCTCAAATGACAAACCATTGCCTACCGCGATTCCATAATAAAACATACTTTTTATACATTTAAATAAACTCACCTGTTACCAATTTAATAATTACTTTAAGATAAACTGAAAAATATAAGATAAATTTTCAATAAATTATATAAGTATTAAAATAAAATCATTCTATATAAAAACATCATAAATTCAGATATATTTCAAATAACCTGCTTAATTATATCATGTTTGTTGATTATCCAATTAAATACAAAAGGTGTATATATATTATATTAAATTAAAATATATTTAATAATTATGTTTTAGAGGAGAATCCCTCTTTAGCTAGTAAACCAAAAACCGCCTACAAAAGATATTACTTAGTCGTTAAGCACCTTTTAATATGGATGGTGGAGGATTTTGAAAGTTCGACGGTGTGGAAATCGTTAAAAGTTGTACAATCCAAACATGCTAAAGTCAACAAATCAACGAAGATGATCAAGCAGAGATCTGGGATTGGCTACCATGGGATTCATTTGTCCAATTCTTGTGAATCTCCAAATCTTTAACATGACATCTGCAAAAACAGAAGATTTGGAGGCATTCCTGCATATGTGGCGAAATCTGTCTTATGTTATGGGTACCGATGATTCGTAAGTAACATCGAAATAATTTTATTTTATATTTTAAATAATTATAAATCTATTAGATTCAACCCATGTACCACAGAATCTGTTGATGTTGTATCTTCTATATCGAGAGAAATCACTTTGCATTGTGCTGGTTATATAAGTAAAAACATATGGGAGTACCATACTATTCTGGATGCGTTCTGCAGAGGTTTCAGTATACTGTTTCCAGTACCAAATAAAAAAGTGATGGTCCAATACTGCTTAAAGAATATTGTTCATAATTGTGACCATAATTTCAACTGTCAAATGGACTATACCTTAAGTCCGGAAATTTCTTTAAAACCAATGGAAGTAATAGGTTATATTCAAAAGTTTAAAATTGTGCGATTACTGTGCAATACCTTCGGTCGATGGTTCGTCGAGATGAAAATGATTTTTAATAAACTGTAGTCCTTGTAATTTAACAAATAAAAAAATACTGATGACTTATTTAAAATGTAACAAAGTCGTGAGAATATCATGGATGTGCCGCGAAATATTAAAAAAAAATGTTTGAAAAACAATGCTGAAGAATATGTTCCAGTAAATTATGATTTTTTTTATTTTAACACAATTCTGATATATATATATTAGATAATAGTGAAATCCATTAATTATTGAGAGAACTATAAATTATTATGAATTGAGTAAGAAAATAATGAATAATTGAAACGGACTATTGACCAGAGAAATAAAGTTTATGTAGCCATTAACTCATAATTACACATTTATACATAATATGGAATTTATTATATCATCGTCATAATATTATTCAATATATATATTGAATGATCAGGCTGCCAGTATTATTCAGTCATGACTTCACAAAGTGCTAAGTTATACTATAACAGGCTGATCACCGAGGGTGAAAATATAAGTTTTAATGAACATAGGCAACTTCCTCCATTCTATGATCGAATTAAATACAAAAGGTATATATATATATTATATTAAATTAAAATATATTTAATAATTATGTTTCAGAGGACAATCCTTCTTTAGAGAATACTTTACATCTATATGCTTAAATTACATTGTCGGTTTAGCAATGGGATTGTCCGACCCTAAATTAAATTTCATTTTAAGACATACGAATAATTCGAGTAAACCAAAAACCGCCTACAAAAGATATTACTTAGTCGTTAAGCACCTTTTAATATGGATGGAGGAGGATTTTGAAAGTTCGACGGTGTGGAAATCGTTAAAAGTTGTCCAATCCAAACATGCTAAAGCCAACAAATCAACGAAGATGATCAATCAGAGAGATCTGGGATTGGCTACCATGGGATTCCTTTGTCCAATTCTTGTGAATCTCGAAATTTTTGGCATGGCATCTGCAAAAACAGAAGATTTGGAGGCATTCTTGCACATGTGGCGAAATCTGTCTTATGTTATGGGTACCGATGATTCGTAAGTAACATCGAAATCATTTTATTTTATATTTTAAATAATTATAAATCTATTAGATTCAACCCATGTACCACAGAATCTGTTGATGTCGTGTCTTCTATATCGAGAGAAATCGCCTTGCATTGCGCTGGTTATATAAGTAAAAACATGTGGGAGTATCATAGTATGCTGGATGCGTTCTGCAGAGGTTTCAGTATACTGTTTCCAATACCAAATGAAAAAGTGATGGTCCAATACTGCTTAAAGAATATTGTTCATAATTGTGACCATAATTTCAACTGTCAAATGGATTATACCTTAAGTCAGCAAATTTCTTTAAAACGAATGGAAGTAATAGGTTATATTCAAAAGTTTAAAATTGTGCGATTACTGTGCAATACCTTCGGTCGATGGTTCGTCGAGATGAAAATGATTTTTAATAAATTGTAGTCCTTGTAATTTAACAAATAAAAAAAATATTGATAACTTATTTGAAACGTAACAAATATCATGGATGTGCCTCAAAATATTTAAAAAAAATAAATTGAAAAACAATGCTGTAGAATTTGTACTAGTAAATTATGATTTTTTTTATTTTAACACAATTGTGATAATAATTGTGATATTAAAGGTAACATAACTACCAATAATATAATAACAAAACAATCTGAGATATTACACAATTAAGCATAAGGATTAGATATCACTTTTAATTTCAAATTATTTATTCTTATATTATAATATAGGGCGACTAATAGCAAAAGTTAAGTCGCCCTACCCATGGAAGTTCACCCTGTGCAGTGGAGCAGAGCGGACGTGTTTCTCTCACCTCTGAGCTAAACATACTTAATCGCGTACTCATGGAAGTGAAATAGTTTTCTAAGTGACAAACAATTAAATCCCTTCCCAGGTGGATTACCACCTGGGAAAATATCTCTGTGAAATGGCTCCACCACCAAGTAAGATGCAGAAGAGATTAGCGAGCGAAGTTCAGGCTGAAAACCAGTCAATCCCCTTATCAAATAGATACGATCCACTATTCGATATGAGAGAAGATGAAATACCCATGGAAAAAATGGATACAGAATCTACAAAGAATAAAAAACAAGTAAAAGTCCCCATCGTTGGAGAGCATCGCGACGGATCTCATCAGCAGTTCATTAAGACCTGAAAACAAATATTAAAAAATGATGTGTTGGTTACATATAACCGACTCCTCAAAAAGACAATTATCCGATCCCAAAGTATGAAAGATCACAAAACTCTTCACAAAAAGGTCTCGAAGATGAGGACCACACCAGCATTCTTCGTGCTCTTGGAAAACACTATCACCCTCAAGTATCTGCAAAAGAAAGTCCGGCACATAAACTTCGCAACAGTAAAATGGAGCCGCTACCAATCAAAAAGAAAAATAACTCAGTGTCATAGGTGCCAGGAATGGGGTCATGCAATATCAAATTGCAGACTACCGTTCAAATGTCTCAAATGTACTATAGCGCACAAGACGTACACGTGCACCAAACCCGGCCAACAATATAGAATGTCCAAAGTACATCGCCAAAATAAAAACCCCTCTGCAGACGATTCGTGGAAAAACGTCGGCGACCGGAACAGGCCACAAAAGGCTGGCATACAAAGAAAACAGAGTTTTGTGGAAGTACCACCCCCAAAATTCAACATATGGGATCTAAGGAATAAATCTCGAGCTGAGGCCCAACCGACCCCGACAATGAGACAAGTGCCGTATTCAAAGGAACGATACAAAAGTGAATTAAGTGACTTCTGGCAGGAGATACGCGAAATGGATGGGTTCAAGGAGGCCCTCAAAAAAGTGCGGAAACTCCGTGACAAACTCGCTGCAGCCGAAACCATAGAAGAACGAAGAGACTTATGTCTCATAAATTACAGAGCTATAGCACTTATGGGTCTAATGGCGCCTTAAAACCTCGTCATCTGTCAATATAATGCGGATTCTGTACATAAACTCCCATACCAAAACCTCTCTCTCTCTTTCACATGTAAATACTCTCTCACATCCAAAACCATCACTCCTCTTCCACATAAACAATTGATAAGGCCCTAGAGGTCTAATATATTTTTTAAAGCATTTTAGATAAAATAAAGGGTTTTTCTCTAATATAGAAATAGTTGTATATAAAACCATAGTTTAAATTTTTTAATCTTAAGTATCCTAAACACTTCAAATGTAAATAATTGCTTCAGCAATTATCTTTATTACATTGTTAAAAGTGTAAGAAATATAAACCGATGCAAACCCAAAACAACTATGTTGAAAGATTTATAATAAAATATATGCTTGTACCCTTGCAAATTGTAAAATGGTCAATAATTATGTTTGTAAATAATGTAACTTTTTAATTGAATTGCCCTACCCATGTGCCAGTGGTCACAGGTTCAAATCCTGGTCAAGCTAGACACTTTGTGAGCCCTCTCGATGCTTGCAGCAATAGGGCCATCATTAAACACAGATGGACAGTGAAATAAATAACGTTTAGCATGTAGACCTTCAACCAAGTCGATGGACATTGACACTTTTAAGGATAGCAGAAGATTCACAGTCAAAGGGAAATAGGGGAATCGCAGAGCAGTTAACCTACAAGACTACAGCCAACCAACAAATTAAAATCAAATCATCACAATGGTAACTATCCACCGGGAAAAATTACCTATATCAGCGGTCGGGGAACCGGGGTAAATTATCCCAAATGGGATAAAAATGGTTTTTTTTGTGGGTAATATCGAAATTTTTGTAATTTCATCTTACCAAACTCAGAGAGCGGTTCTCTGACTACTTTCCAGATCTTGATTTACAAACTGTGAATTGGGTTGTAGATCCTTTTAAATGTGAAATTACTAACATACCAGAAGAACCTCCAAGTTTGGCAGACGCAATTCTTGAACTTCGATCCAATACTAAAGCACGTATTCAATTTGAAACCAAAGCAAATCTATCGTCTTTTTGGTTGTCAAAGGCTGCAAAGGCTTCAAAATTGCACATTGATGAACTGATTGTAAATAAAATGACACGACATAAAAAAAATATAATATAAATACTACTTATTTACATTCGCTACCTTTTATAAAATTATCAGAAAATATACAAAAAGTTAATAGCTTTAACACTATCCTCTCTCCTATTGATCATCTTCCAAATATTATTCTTACTAAATATTGGTATGCAGCCAATCGCATGTTACTATTTTGCATTTTTATACTACTATCAAATTATGTCAAGATATTGTTTCCTTAAGATGTTTACGCATTTGATAGTAATTGCACAAGTCAAATACTTATATACAATGTACCAATTGAATAGTTATGGACTGTCTTAAGAAGAAAATACACATGAAGGTGGCGCTTGTGGACTACAAGAATAATGCGCTCCTCTTTAGAAAAAAAAATATACGATACTGATATCCAGTTTGCACTGTGAATGGAAAAATCTGCCAATTGTTTTATTTTATTGTATATTAAATATCGCTGGTGTCAACATGAGAGTTATATAATTCTAAATAAAGAATTATTTGATCAAATAATTAGGACGTGTATAAACCATATATTTTAATTGCAAGTATCATATAAGTTACTCAAAACCTCCAAAAAACAGCTTTGTTACAAAACACCAATTTATTTTAGTTGCTGGTTTTGAAATATTTATCTCTTAATAGTGTTAATAAAATAGTTATATGATTTTTTTCATGATTAAACCGTTTGTAAAAATATTCCATAAGTTAATAAAAAAAAACACTCATATGCTTCTCTTGTATATGTATTGGATAGGTCAGTGCTCCGCAAACTTGGAATAATCCCTCTGAATATCAGAAGATCCGAGCTAACAAAGTGTTACATGATCAAATGCAAAGCGAGTCCACCGTCAGGCACTCGAACACGGATTCTGAAGCATCAGCAAAATTTGATCACAATCTAATCTGGACATCTAAGGGCATTCCTTTTCTGATTTTCTCCTGGAGTGATACAACATCAAAGAATCCAGACAAGAGGACAATAATCAATATGCACGCAGGATCAATCTGATTGCAATTTTGTTAGTCGCAGAAAGATTTTGTCAACTAAGTCTGATAAAATTTGACGAATATAATCCGTTTCTATATTTCTACAATTTCCTCTTCCGTAATTTCCTTGTCAATATCCTTCGACGATATCAAATGAGATGGGATGTAAGCCCTTCGACCATCCAGAATGCAAAATTTAGGAAACTATTCGCTGTTATGTTAGATTTAAAGATCACTGCTACTCTATTTTTACCTCTTCCTTCTATTTTGGTAACATGAGTAACTTTGTACTTTTCTACCCATTTGCAGAGCAGAGAAATATTCGGAATAGCAGGTCCCACTAGGACCACACATGGGCTCGTAAATTTCTAGACTTAAAAAATGTCTAGACAACTGAATCAGAGAACTCATCCTTTGACATACCAACCAAATTAAATGATAATTCCTCGTTCCTATACATTGAGGTAAACTCAAAAAGTTTTTTTAAGAGATTTATATCAATAATTATTGATATAATAATCACTTGGCCCTTTTTCTAGCACCTTTAGGGTATACCCTTGCCAAACTAACATACAAATATTCGTACGAACGTACATTTATGCTCTCGGACCAATCACCGGCTGGAGGAATATTCATAATATGTTTACTTCTTCAGATTAAGTAGGGTTGCCATATTTGAAACGATTGTAAAAACATTAATTTCATCCAACAGTATAGCCTAAAGGTTGAAACTTTATATTTAAGCTCAGAACATTTCACCAGTTTCTTGCTTTGTCACAAGATAACAGATGTTATTTATAGACCCATAAGTTAAGAAACGCTGCTCAAGAGTGCCAAAAAATTGTAATATCTATAATGTTAACTAAGATCTACAATAAAACTACCTAAGAATATAAGATAAATCAAAACAATGACTTTTTCTAGGCGAAATGTTAGCTGTGTCCTTACTTGGAAAGTATATAGAAAGGGTGAAAAAATAAAATATTTAGGAGTGAGAATAGACGACAAGCTATCCTGGAAGAGACTATTGCAAGCCCGTTGGAGGAGACCCGAAGGAACAGATTACATCGATAAAAAGTATAATCATATACCTCTGCAGGAAATATCCCAGAATTTCCTAGTTTTTAAACTAAATCGGTGAGAACACCACATTAAAATCTATATGGATGGGTCAGCCCGACGAGCTCCAAGGTCTGTGGCATAAGGATTGTGTCTGACAGAGGGGTACTATTGGCACAGAGTAGTAGTATTCTCAGACTCTAAGAGCACATCGGATGCAATTACCGCTATATTAAACGCTCACAAAATAAACATCCTCATTTTAAAAATTAAAATGATCTTAGAGCGGCTCAGAGAGAGGAACATATAGGTCTCCAGATTGTACTTGTGGTATGGAAGGAACAACTAACCATATATTCTTCGAATGCCCCCACAATATCCAAGCCACCACCGATGGTCTCGAGAGCGCAAAACGTGGAATTTCCAATGTTTATAGGCATACTAAAGAGATTTATAGATCTATTTTAAATTTTGTGAGAAGGTAACAATCTGTTTTTAATTTGTTTTTATCTGTATACCTTTGTCTAACTGTTACGAAATTTTAATCACCCCACCGAGACCTTCTTCATATGTGTTAAGAGTCGCTAGGTCCCGGCTCGTGAAGAGTTATTCTATTTATTAATCAGTCATTTTAGTTAGTCACTTTGAACAAATATTTAACTTCTCTGTTTATTTATTCTATTGTATGATGTTTGTGCTATATTTGTTTGATATTATTTTATATAGCAACCATGGATATATTTCGCTTGACTGGCTGTATAGCACAAGGTGCGAGCTAAGTTCCTTACCACCACTATGTGAGTGGAGAGTTTTATATAAAAAATCTACACTATTAAATGGGACAGGAAAAATAAATTTAAATAAAGGAATAACATAATTGTTCTTTAGCAGGTATGTTTATTAACAATAGAATGTTATTTACATAAAATAATATAAGCATTTAACAAAAATATATTATAAATATTATATATTTGCCGACTTATTAATTTCCATAGGATTTTTAACCCATATTTTATTTGTTACTGATCTCGAGCCATTTAATATCACAGGATTATCATTACTATTCTCTCTATTTGTGTCTTTAGTTTGCGTATGTTCAATAGGTGTTTTTTTCTCAGTCTGCCTGTAGATTTTCTTGGATGGTGACTGAACGGTATTGGTAACAATATAAGACGTTTTAATAGTTCCCGCTGTTCTTGAATTCACGACATCCGTTTTGTGTGATGCTGCTGAGACGGTGCTTGCAGTTTTCCTAGAAGATGTGCTTGCAGTTTCATTCTTCGTAACTTTAATACTCAAGTGCTGAGTCTGCAGCATATTATTAGTTTGTGCAATTTTCGTATTTAATATATTTGGACCACTTTTCGTATATATTTCGCGGAAACCCGCGTTTGCAGTCTGCATATTATTTAAACTAACAACCGTGTTAGATGCATTAACACCTTGTAGCCCTGAAGTTAAATTCTGACGACTTGCTACAGTGGCATTATATGGCATAGATAATAGAGCATTTAGACCAGGATTAGTATATGCTAAACTTAAAGCAGAATTACTAACAGGAATTGTTAAATTCTGACTTACAACAATATTATTTACTGGTATGGCAATATGCTGACTAACAGCAGGTCTAAAATTTATTTGTTGATTATTTAATGGTATAGTTATTTGTTGATTTACCGCAGGTCTAATACTAGGTAAATTTATTTGATTACTATTTATGGGTATAGTTATTTGTTGATTTACCACAGGCCTCACAGGTAGATTATGTTTTGGTTGATTATTAATAAGTGCAGTTAATTGTTGATTTTGTATCAGTTTATAAACTGGTAGATTTACGTTTGGCTTATTGATGACTGCAGTTAATTGTTTATTTTCTGCAGGTTTATTAACTGTAACATTTATTTTTTGATTATTAATGAATATAGTATTTTGTTGATTTCCAGCAGATCTATTAACTAATTGATTATTAACAACTGTGTTCATCTGCTGTTGATTGTTGACTACATATGGAAGCGGTTGTTCAGCAACACTAACCGCACTTTTATTAGAGCTACTATTACTACTCTGCTGCTTACTGCGTGGTGATTTAGAATTATGGAAAAGTATATCATTAATCTGTTGCAGTGTTTTCTTTTCGTACTTAGATTTTTTCACCTCTGTTACTGGCTGTTTAACAGAAACATATGGCTCCAGATTAGTTCTTATGATTTTAGATTTATTTTTAGTCGACAAACATAAATGAACTGGCATGTAACTAGAACCAATATCCCGATACAAATCTTTATATCGAATTTTAGTACCTTCTACAATCGGTTGCTCCGGTGCAGTGTTCAAAGTTTCCGTTTGTATTATTTTCTCCTTGGTTATTGTCATCTTGTTTAAAATATATTCTTTCAATGCAATTTCAACATCAATATCAATACCTTTTTGGGGTTCAGTTGGTTTTGAAGGAATTCTTGTTTGGTCGTCGTCGCACATTTTTTCAATTTGAACAACCAATTTTTTTTTAAATTTACATTCAAGACTTTCATGTTTATGCTTCACTGTGCTACACTGTATACATTTTTTGCACCATTTGCAATATTGATGGCGTCTATGAATTTTTAAACTGTTGCTAGATTTAAAATTTTCTGAGCATTTGATGCATGTATACAATTTAGATTCAACAATATCTTCTGCGCCGTCATTAATTTTATCCTTGCTCACCAATTCAAGAGATGATACAAACATTTCTTTCTTTTCATCCATATTATTAATATGAGAATTTGCCTCTAATCTTTTAAATGGCAATTCTGCTGGCAATGAACCTCTTAATCTTTTTCGAGCTCTAGTTAATGCTACTGGACTATTATTAACACGTTTTCGAGCATTACGTTTAGTTGACTTTTCGTCGCATCTTCTTAAACGTATTGTAGGATTAATATTTAAGTCCAACATATCCTCAGAAATAATTAACTTTGGATACTTTTTTAATATATTGTTAACAGATTCGCTTGGTACCCATTCCCTTAACGCTTCACGTTTTTTATTCTTAGAATATTCTATTCTTTTGTCACAGCTATCAATTGTTTTATTCTGATCAGAATCACATTTAGTGGATTTTACTGAAGTATCTTGCTGCTTGTTGCCTTTTGCATCTTTGGAAACAGATTTGGTCTTCTTACCACCACTAAGTGAAATATCCATTTGCTTGGAGCCATTTTTGTCAGTACAATTGGGCTTTTTACCATCAGAAATTACAACTTTCCTTTTATTAGGAGTAATTGCGTCATCATTTTTAGAATTATTTGCATGACTGGCACCAACATTTTTCGTCTCTTGTCCATCAGCAATTGAACTATTCATCATTTTGGAGCTTTTATCAGTATTGTTAGTCTTATTGCTATCACTGACAGAAATATTCAGTTGCTTGGGATTACTTGCATCACTGGATTTACTACTCTTCCTCTTGGTATTATTAATTTTCTTCGATTTGCAAACTACATTTTTTGTCTTATTATCATCACAGATAGAATCTATTTTCTGTGGACTGCTTTCATCACAAATTGAAGTACCCAACTGTAGCTGACTTACTTCATCATTCAGTTGACCAATGCTTTCAGGTACTGAAGAATCATTTACCTGAGATTCACCAATTTCATCATAACAAATATTATTAGACTGTAAAGTTAATGCATTATCTTTACTCAGATCATTATTACTATTTTCTTCTGTTCCTGTATCAGATAGTCCATTATTTTGTGAACTTGTACTTACTACACCTAATTCCCCATTTGATATTGTTTCATCTCTTGGTTCTATTATTGATTGTATTTTATCTGATGCATTTGTGATCATTTCCTTATCATTAGTTGTAGAGGTAGATGCTACTATAGCAGGTAATTCTTGTGCTTGATCATTTGTAATATTATAATTTACTTGAATTGGATGTAAATCTTCAATTGGTACTGGAGCAGAATGTATTTCAGAATCTTCATCATCAACAATAATAATATCTGGTACTCCTTCCATTTTTATAATTGTATTTGAAATTTTTTTAATCATATCAAAATTATTTTTTATTATTACTGGAATGGGTTTCATCTTCTCCACTTCCAACCCAGCATCTTTCTATAAACAAAAAGGAAACTAAATTAGCATATATACATTAATATTTGAATTTAGTTTGTTTATTATACTTTATGTTTCCTGTCATTTAATCCAGCTCTGGTTCGGAAGTTGAACATATATAAGATTTGGTCCAAACATTGTTGGCATATCTTTTTAGTGACAATATCTGATGCCAATATCTGTAAAAGAAATATATATATATATACATTAATATAAAATTAAATTTATAAATTAGTTTACTTCAATAATTTAATTACAATATTAAATTTGAAATTCACATCCGACTTAATATCTGTTTATATTTCAAGTATGTAATGAATATATTATATTTCATATTATGTTTTAATTTTGTTATTGCAATAAAATGAAAAAAATAACTACTGTGTAAATAAACATGTTGATAATAACAATAATTATGTTTATTGCATTAGTTGTACAAAAAAAACATATACAGAAATAAAAAGAACAAAATAAATATAAATAATTTCAAAAAAAAAAGTCAACTGATACAAAGGCCTATTCACCATAGGTCTTTCTGCCCAGGCAAACATGTTGATTTAGCAGTACTTAAATCAATTTGTGTCAATTAGCTTAAAATTTTTGGAAATATCAGAAAAATTTAGTAAATATAAATAAATCTGTTGACAATAAATATAAAAACAACCAACTAACCTCAACTCCAGAAAATAATTGTATGTAAGTTCGAACAACTTCTCCGCCATTTTGAAAACGAGAATCAAAAACATCCAACAGTTTATCTTTGACAAAACACAATCGACAACTCTCCATTGTTTAATAACTATAATCCGAAAACACTTAATACCAAATAGATTCGCACTTGTTCAAAAATTTACATTGATTCAATGTAACACAGAAAATGTTAAATTATCCAACCGACATTCTCTTCCTGTCACCGACTGTCTCTCATTCCCGCGTAATACATTTATGAGTCGTTCTTTTAATTCCAGGTTTTTATTATCTGTAGAATTCTATTAAATCTACATGTCCTGGAAGAGTTCTGCAATTATAGATTGACTTAGCTACTAGCCACTGGTTCCCATGGCGCTGCTGGCTACAATATTCTCTACTTCTACTCGACGCATGCTTACTGAAGGATCATGATTCATAACCCAAAAATATATACTAAACGTCAATCGAATATTAACAGCTAAATAAAGCAAAGCTCTCCGCAGTTACGGAGAAGCATCTTGTGAAGAAGTACTTGATTTTATGTAAATGCAATAATGCGACAACAGTAATTTTTTTTTTTTTTTTTTTTTTTTTT